CGGGGGCGCTGGTGGCCATAGCCACGTGCCCCCGGGGACCGCAGCCGCCAGCCCGGGCACGTGCCCAGGGAGCCGTGTGGCGCCACGCGTAGATGGGACACGCCGGCTCCTGCCAGCTCGCGGGGGCGGGGCGGCATCGCAGCTATGCCTCAGTTTCCGCTCCGGGACGAGCGCGTCAGACCGCTGGGGCCGCCCCCCGCGAACCCCCTTTCCCCGCAAGCTGGTCCCCTTTGCTCTCCCAGCACAGCGGGAGCCGGCGGTTTCCATGGGAACCGCAGCGGGGTCTGAGAGCCCAGGAATAGCCCCGCTCCCGGCATTGCTTCCAATCCGGGAGAAACGCAGGGTGCGGAGAAAGGCATCGCTTGAGGTCCCCAGCGTCAACAGCCAGGTCGCCCCGGCAAGCCTAAGTGGGGCCACCCGGGGACCCGCACCGCCACCGCCCCGGTTGCGCGGGTCGCCGTGATTGGCCGGCCTTCTCCATCAGCGCGTCAGCACCCTCTGGTACGCGTGCTGTCATTGGCCCAATCTCTAGGGCACCTTCCTGCAATTGGTTCTCTCGAGGGCCGTTTCTGATTGGCCGATCATGTCGGGCTCTCCTAGCTGATGGCACTCTGACAGTCAGAAGCCTAACGTGGCGCGCAGGATCGAGAATGGGGTAGGGGCCGCGAGGGTCGGGGCCACACCGCCCGCGGAGCCCTCCTGCGGGCCGTCGGGCCGCTGTCTGTGGTGCTGAAGCCTCACTCGAGGCGCCCCCGCCCCGTGAAAGCCTATCCCAGCGCCTAGGTGCCGCCCCGACGTAAACACGCACGTGCGCCCGCGCACCAAGAGGGCGGCGCCATCCCCGTCACCTTAGAGAGAGGCCAGGTCTCCTCCACAGAAGCCAGGGCATTCACCTAGCAGATCGGCCCGCTTGAGTTTTATGGGGCTCCAGAAGGACCCGTGGTTTCCCAGGGCTGCAGAGCTCCAGTGGGGGTTGTCTGGAACCCCAAGCCCAAAACCTCCTCACTCACTTAGGAACAGTGTTGCCATCCTGCACTGGGTGTGTGTGTGTGTGGTGTGTGTGCACGTGCGTGTGTGCACACGCCATCCCTTTCTTTTGAGACCTGGAGCTACCTAGACCTCTCTAAATCCAGAGAGTCCTAGACGAGGTAGACAAGGACCGCTCAAGCTACCTCCTATCCTCCCCCGTGGCCTAGGTGGGCTCCTCCTGGTCCCCCCAAATTTGGGGGCCCGGGGCCTCTGCCTGTTGAAATCTTGGTTCCTCCTCCTCTTCCAGTCCCCTGGGTGAACAGCGCCACCGGATGGTCGTGCACTCAGGCCACACATACCTCCTCCCTCCCTCTTCGCTTGTCGGTCTCTAAGTACTTGACCCAGGAAGGACCCTGCTCTGTCTCCAGGCACAAATTCCGCCCAAGAAGGGGTGCCAAGGCAAGAAACAGGGTCCGCGGGGGCAGAAGCACCCGAATCTTGCAGCCAGATCCCCCATGATGCGCTTTTGGGGGTGCGGAGTCCC